CCGGCAACGCTATATGTGTTTGTGTGTGTGTGTGTGTGTGTGTGTGTGTGTGTGTGTGTGTGTGTGTGTGTGTGTGTGTGTGTGTGTGTGTGNTGTGTGTGTGTGTGTGTGTGTGTGTGTGTGTGTGTGTGTGTGTGTGTGTGAGAGAGAGAGAGAGAGAGAGAGAGAGAGAGAGAGAGAGAGAATAAGAGAGAGTTACGTGAACAAGGCACACCTCGAATACAAGGTACGTACCCTGTATTCGAATACAAGGTACGTTCCTTGTATTCAAGGGTACCTTCTTTTCGGAAATTTAACAGCGATTTTGGAGAACCCGTTCTTCGGAGGTAACTTGAATACAAGGTACGTACCTTGTTTTCGGGTTAAGACGGTAGTCACACTCGTGCTTTGTCCGTTCTTGTACTTGTTGTTAGTCCGGTTCTTCTTTGGCTGTTCAACTTGTCACATGCATGTGTTTTCCCTAGTCGCACTCGTGCTTTGTCCATTCTTACACTTGGTGTTAGTCCAGTTCTTCCTAAGCTGATCAAATTGTCACATACATGACTTGGCAAGACCCCCCATATGTAATGTCAAACCCCTACTCCCACTTGCCGTAAGGGCATGTAGGGGTATGTGTGGTATCTATTCAACTTGTCACATGCATGTGTTTTCCCTAGTCGCACTCGTGCTTTGTCCATTCTTGCACTTGGTGTTAGTCTGATTTTTCCTAAGCTGATCAAATTGTCGCATACATGACCTGGCAAGACCCCTCGTGCGTAATGTCAAACCCCTACTCCCACATGTCGTACGGGCATGTAGGGGTATGTGTGGTATTTGTTCCCAGTCCCGTGTGCTCTGATTGAGTCCCCCTCTACCCCCTGTGCTCTAATCGAATACGGTAAGGAGAAGGTAGGTAGGAGGCTGGTGCTGCTGGTGCTGCTACTAATAATGTTGATGTTGTTGAGATCTGCTGCTGTTGTTGCTGATGACTGGCCAAGCCAGGCTGCTGCTGCTGCTGCTGCTAAGAACCGTTAGCTGGTCTCCCGGAGCGGAGGCCGGTCCGGAAAACGCAAAGGCACTAGTGCGGCCCAGGGGCGCTGGTGGTCAACACCGCCAAAATAGGGGTATGAAGGCTGTGACTTCACAGACCCAATATCCTAGGCATAGATAGATGGCCGGCAAAATCTGCAGGCCATCTGAGTCCATTTTCTTGCAAAAACGGAAAATGGACTTCCTCGAACTGTTCACTTGGAACCCGGACAATGCCCGAAAAAGGCAAGTAGGGGCAAACCGCGACGGAATGAAACCAAACTTTATGGAGGTCTTCCATAGGGTACGGACAGAGGGCCCACCAAGTTACGGGGGCATCTAACACCGTTTGGGCCACCAAACGGAGGACTGAATTTCTCGGTTCTCCCACCTTTAGGAAAACCGACAAAAATCTGCAAAAATCTGCCTTTTCTGTAAAATCTGTGTTTTTCCTATAAATTGTGGGTTATGGAAAATCTGTGTTTTCTGCAATCTATGTTTCTGAAAATCTGTGACAATTGTAAGCCCGTGTATATGTGCAAACTGCGGGACCGAGTATCCCGAGGCGTCCGGGCCCCGGGAAAAACACTAGGTGGATGGGCGCGCACTTAGAAGTAGGGGGAAGCGTCAGACCACCCCACACCTCACTTTATCCTTCCTCCTCCGTCTCCTTCACCCATCCACCATACCCAATTACCTCGCTTCACCCTCCTCCGCCATCTCCTTCACCCATCCGTCATAGCCACCACCCCACTTCACCTTCCCCCTCCATCACCTTCACCCACCCACCATAGCCATCCACTCGCTTCACCTTCCTCCTCCATCACCGTCACCCATCCGCTGTAACCAGCACCTCACTTCATCTTCCTCCTCCATCTCCTTCACCCATTCACCATAGCCATCCACCTCGCTTCACCATCCTCCGCCATCTCCTTCACCCATCCGCCATAGCCACCACCCCACTTCACCTTCATCACCTTCAACCATCGAGAGACAGTTAACGGGGGCCCAAATATTCGCCGTTTTCGTTGGCAATTGCAGTGCGAATTTCATCAAAAATTTTAAAAACAAACGATATGAGACAAGAGTGCAAACATCAAAAAAGGAAACAGGCCAAAAAAAACAAAAAAACACTATAAAACCCTAACACAAAGACACTGTCCGAGTCAAAATGAAGCGTCCAACGAATCCAACAAAATGCCAACTTTTTCATTATTGATCCAAACATGTAAAAACTGCACACATGACGTACCCTAAAGCACATATATATCACTCAAAAAGAAAAACGAGAAAAAAAGCAAAAAATCAGCACAATATGACAGTTTCAGTGCAATTCGGTGCAAAATTCGTCGAAAATAACACCCCTGGCTAACCATGTGTGCTTGTCGAAAGGAGAAGGGGTGGATAGGTGGGCCTCGAGTAGGATGGTAGGCCAAGTAGGGGACAAAGTTTGATTAGGCATAGGGAGTCTCTCTCTTTCTCTCTCTCTCTCTCTCTCTCTCTCTCTCTCTCTCTCTCTCTCTCTCTCTCTCTCTCTCTCTCTCTCGCGCGCGCGCGCGCGCGCGC